TTGCTTCATTCCCTTCCCCCCTCCACCTGCTTTATTCTGTTTTTTGCGCCTTTTCGCCCATGTTTTTGAATTTTTCACACATATATGATGAGAAATTTGCCAGCTGATTGCAGCCATTCTGCGATAGTTTTTATTATATTTCGAATTAGCTTGGCTTTCTGGCTGAAATCACCGTCTCTCAATCTCGGCTCCCTGCAAGGGGGAAATATTGTAGCGTTTTTTTTTTTCATCAGATACACCACTGTGTAGAAGTAAAATTAATTGTCTGTAACATTTTAATATATCACGACACGTTGCAGCATCTAACAGATAAAGCAAACAGCGTAGATGTCAGTGAAGTAGAAGAAGTGATTTGCCGGAATTGTGTGGCACAACTCAGTTTTCTGCTTTCATACGCCGATGATACGTATAAGGAAGAGGCCTGCGTGGAAGGAGCGTGCAAATTGAAGTGTCTTGCACCGAAATCCGACGAAAACGAGAAGCCACAACAGCAGCAAGCGCGCTCTCTGTTTTTCAGCTCATATGAATGGCGAAATCGCTTATGCAAATGCAATAGTTGCTTGGTATGCTTTCGATTTTTTTACTGATTTTGCGAAAAATTAAAGTATTTATGGTGGGGGAACCAAGTGAATGTTTTTTATTCAGATTTGGATGTTAACTAATTCCTAATATGCAGAGCGGAATCGGTATGGTTTTAGCCAGGAACATTCAAAAAATCGAACTAAATTCTATAATGCAAAAGACATAGCTGTCTGCACACATTACTTCATCGTTGAAGTTTCATCAGCAATGGACATACGTATATGTTTGGATAAAATGAGAAATGCGCGAAAACATACAAAATACTACTGCACAAAACGTAACCTGTTGTCAATACACCCACAGATATATCAAATCCTTCAGTACTTTTAAATCCCTCAGTACTTCTTGGTCCCTCAGTACTTAAATCCCTAGGTATATTAAAAGTTCTCAACACTCTTGTTTTTTTTTTTTTAATTTTAATTTAGCTGAAAATGAGATTTCAGAGTTTGTACGAAGATAATAATGTGCCGTTTTTGACTGATCTCGCTGACACTTTGCAAGCTTTTGTTGCATCACACAGTAATAACAAAACTGACAAGACATCATCGTCCAGTGATGAAGATCGCGCAGTGACAAATGCACTGATCGAAGCTGCTGGTCGTGACGGAGCTATTTTATTATACCAAGGTAATTCACTTTCCAATAAGTTTAGTTACTGTGTAAAGTAGTAACTTTTATATCCGAAGCGATAAATGATGAGAAAGAAAAATGATTTTGCTGTCGATTATAGTGACCGATTTTGAATTTTCTAGGCTCAGAATTATGTTTTTATGCAAAATTGAGTGAATCTGAAATGAATGGTAGCTTGAGTGCGTTCAAAATGATATTTGTGGACAGAATTAAGGATTTTTTTGATTAATGATGTGGACTGAAGGGTTTTTTTTTGTACTAGTAGGGCATGAAATAGATATGGAATTAAGTGGGTATGAAATCTTTTTTAGAGATATGAGGTGAGCTTTCAAATATTCTGTTATGCGAGCGAAGTTTGCCAGGAGAAAACCGTGGCTCTAATTTTTCGATCGCTTTAAAAATGCGATTCCTGGGAGTCATTCTTTTTCAGGCTATGAAGAAATGAAGGGGAAACTGATGAATCATTTGAAGAGAGTAGCGGACGAGGGAAGAGTGGTGAAAAAAGAAGACATTGAGCAGTTCTTCGAGCAACTTGGTACTGAGCGAAAACGACGTCGTGAAAATTTCCAGTCGCAAATGTGAAGAGTCTCACTGAGCAGTAAACTTTATCATAGATACCTCTGCACTTCTGATTACTGATTGTTTTTTATCACGCACTTACCAGTCAACCTATTTCTAATGTACGCGAGCTTATGCTTGAAATGACATTTTTATTATCTAAACGATGACTTGTCTAGAATGATTTTTTTTTTTTGATAAAGGTAACCATATTTTTGCCGAAGCTTGTAAAATGAATCCCTTCGCATGAGCTATTCCTGAAGCAAAATACCTTTTTGCCGAAAATGGTACTTGTCTGAACTGAAGTAATTAAAATTCTATGACCGAATGGGTAGCAGATATTGCGAAAAGGCAAGGGTATTTTCATGCTAGATGCCTGGGGGACAAGCAATCCCTCTTCAATTCATTCATTCGTTTTGATGGTAAATTGGTACTAATGCATGCCAGGGAGCCAAAATTTTCATCAACTTGCGTTCAAATAACTTTCAGTAGAAAAGCTATTGGTATCTTTGCCAACGAGTGGTTGCTGCTGAGGTTTGTTTTACCTACAACTTAGGCTATTTTCGAATAATTCCACTTTATGGAAAGTGTTTTGTGAAGGAAACTTTGATTTTTTGGCCAAAATGAGTGTCCATCTCTTATTTTCGTTTTTTACTTATAGCATTTTTTTTTTCTTCAAACTTTACAGTTATTTTCTTGGATATGCGGGAACTTTTTTTTGTTTGCGATGATATTCCAGAATCATTTTCACGAATATTCTTACTATTTTCTGCTGGAGCTTTACTTTCAAGTTTATTTTTAGCAGTATTGAGGCTCGACTATTTTTCCTGGCCTGTTGTATGGTCGGACTTCTTTTTCCTGTAGACATTTATCTTTGAGTATTAAGTAATTGTATGACATGTTGTTTTGCTGATTTTTAT